TGGCTTTTTCATTGTTTGTTTCCTTTTGGGGGCCACACCTGGCAGTGGTGCTCAGGGCCCACTCCTGGTTCTGCAATCAGGGATCACTTCTGGCTGTGCACAGGGGTTTTGGGGATCACAGGTGTGCTGGGGATCAAACCTGGGTTGGCTGTGTGCAAGGCAAACACCCTAACCACTGTACTATCACTCTGGCTGCTTTTTTTTTTTTTTTTTTGGTAGTGGGTAGTCACACCTGGGTGTGCTCATGGCTTGTTTCTGGCTCTATGCTCAGGGATCTCCTAAGAGTGCACAAGGGACCATATGTGGTGCTGGGGATCAAACCCAAGTTGTCTGTGTGCAGGGCAGGCAAGCACCCTACCTGCTATACTAGCACACTTTAGATTTTGAATTTTGGGGGCCACACTCAACGGTGCTCAGGACGTCCTCCTGGTTCTATGCTCAGGGATCACTCCTGGTTAAGGACTCAGGGGACCATAAGGGGTGGTAGGCAAAAAGGGCACAAGGCAAGCACCTTATCCATTGTACTATCTCTCCAGCCCCAATTTTACTTTAGTGTTTTTTTTTTTTTTTTTTGGCTTTTTGGGCCACAGCTAGTGATGCTCAGAGGTTACTTCTGGCTTTGCACTCAGGAATTACTCCTGATGGTGCTTGGGGGACTATATGGGATGCTGGGGATTGAACTCGGGTTGGCTGCATGCAGGGCAAATGCCCTACCTGCTGTTCAGGCCCCATCCCTACTTTGTACTTTCAAGAGTTATGTAGAGGGCAGAGAGATAGTACAATGGGTAAGAGCTTATATGCAGTTGACCCAGGTTCAATTCCTGGCACCACATTTGGTCCCCTGACCATCACCAAGTGTGACCCCTGAGCAGAGAGCCAGGAGTAAGCCCTCAGCACCATTAGGTGTGGCCTAACCCCTTAATCCCAAATTCTTTATTTTCCTCACAGTGGAGGAGGCTTTAGATTGTGCCTAAATTATTTTCATCCTGTCACCACCTGCTTAGTAGATCAACATGTGGAATCAAACTAACCTTGTTTGCTTTGCAATCAATCCTTGTGTATAAACATTGCTGGGAGACAGTTCTGATTAAGAATGACTTTTTTTTAAAAAAGTCTCCTTTTCCCCATCTTTTTCTAAAAAACATACCTCTGCTATCTGCTTTTTTGATGGGGAGGAGGGGGTCTGTCATTTTTCATAATTCAGCAGAATCTTTGTAACTGCCTCTGGGCCTTACTACTCTCAGTACCCTGTACAGAGGAAAATCATGAACTGTAGAATCCCTCTTAAGTTGGTAAGTCTTTCCCTGCTGAACAGTACTCCTCAGAATTTGTCTTTGACTATTCCTTTGTCTCCTTCAGGTCAGAGAGAGAACAGAACCACGCTACAGTCTCTTTCTGGTTTCCAGCCACCGGTCCTACAGGTGAGCACTAAACTGTCTGCAAAGAAAACTCATGGTTAGGCCTGCATACAGATGGCCTCATTCTGTTCTCCTGTTCAGGTGATAGACTCTGTGGAGAGTAACATGGGTTTCAAGTATGGTAACTATGTGTTCACAATTTTCTAGAATTATTTCAATTTCAAAGATCCTATACTATTGTCAGATTAGCTCCCTGGTTTGGGGTTTAAAAAATATGTCACAGGCTAGGGAGGGTGCTAAAGGACTTGAGTGCATGCTTTGCCTGTGAGATTCAGGCTTGATCCCTGAATACCAATCCAGGAGTCATACGCTGCCAGGTATGATCCAAAAATAAAAACAGATGAATACAAAGTCAAAAAAGTCATATGGCACGAGGCTTTATCCTAAGAGCTTTTTGCCAGCATAAACCAACCGGATAGACACAACTAACATTCCAAGAAATACCGCACCTCTAAAGTTATTTTCAGTGTAAACAATCTTTTAGGTACAAATATTACTACTATAATAGGAAAATCCCTGTTGACTTCTCCAGAGATAGCGAGAATGTTGTTTTGTAAAGGTTTGGGACTGAATATAACCTAGGCGACTAGAAGATAACCCAGTATAACCCACGCATGGGAAGAAAGATCAGTAAGGAATTCTATTAAATGTGATTCCTACTCTTACTGTTTTGTTTTGTTTTGAGCCACACCTCGTCATCTCTGCATCACAGTCAAGGTCCTCCCATTGTTCATCGATTTGCTCAGGCGGGCCCAGTAAGACTTGTTGTTACTGTGTTTGGCATATCGAATACGTCACGGGTAGCTTGCCAGGCTCTGCCGTGTGGGCGAGATACTCTCGGTAGCTTGCCGGGCTCTCCAAAAGGGGCAGAGGAATTGAACTCGGGTCGGCCATATTGGCTTTGTACAAGGCAAACGCCCTACCGCTGTGCTATCGCTCCAGTCATCTCTGCATATTGTAGTCAAATATTCCAGGTGTTTAAGTTTTTCATGTATTTTGCCTTATCACCATAAGCCACTGAAAAGGTCCAGAGTTACATAAGAAACAATGTCCTTGTCACACAAGATGCATCAAATGTATCAAATCTTAGTTTAGAATTAGCTGTGATGCAGTTGAGAAAACTATGGGGAAGAAACATGAACTGTTTACTGTTTCAAGAATCTCCTAATGCTTTAAATATTCCTTCCTTGCCCTTTGTTGCTATAAACCCCCATTTGTACCTTTTGTCCTTTACTACAGAATCTCTACCAACATAGGCAGATGGGACTAACCAGGGGGAGAGAAGCATGGACCACATCCAAATAACTATCTTCAAAGTCTGAACAATACATACTAATAAGGGGTGCACTATACATCCACAGCCTCATTAAAGGCCATAGGGGTCATGGTCTTGAAAAAATGTACCTGTCTTGTCTCCTAGTTTTATGGTCTTGATGTTTTGTTTTGCTTTTTTGTGGGGGTTGCATACCCACCTGTGTTCAGGGCCTACTCCTGGCTCTGTGCTCAGTGATGACTCCTAGCAATACTCAGGGTTGAATCCAGGTTGGATGCATGCAAGGCAGACACCTCAACTTTTGTACTCTCTCCAATTGCTTTACTATCTTTTCACTAAATACATTTCACTAAATACACCCTGTATTGCCACCTAGGAAAATGATCAGCTCTCTATAAGGTAAGTGCTTCAAAAAGTTGTATTTCTTGAAGATATTTACAGCTCCATTATTTCCTACAATTTGTTTTATGATTGTGTTCAGGGATTATTCCTGGCTCAGGGATCACACTTTACATTGTTTCAGGGGATCCTTTTTGATACTGGGGATCCCAACCTGGGGTCCACTGCATGCAAGGCAAGTGCCTTACCCACTATACTATTTCCTGTGCCCCATCCCACAATTTGATATTTTTCTTCTTTTGCTTTTGGGGCCACACCTGGCAGTACTCCTGGCCATATGCTCAAGGGCTCATTGTGCTAAGGATTGAACCAGGTTTGGTCATATGCAAAACAAGGGCCATACCACCTTGCATTGGATATAGTCTCCCATTGCCAATGTTAGCAATACCTTATTCTAATTACACTTCTATTTATCTCTTTCTGTTTTGTTTTGGGGGCCACACCGTGCAGTACTCAGAGCTTATTCTTGTCTCTGCACTCTGGGATGACTCCTGGCAGGCTTGGGGAACCATATGTGGTGCCAAGTATTGAACCCAGGTTGGTCACAGGCAAAGCAAGCTCCTTACCAGCTTGTCCAACTCATTTACCCATTGTGTCCTGTGCCTACTCTTTCTTTTCTATCTGCCTAAAGTTGGAGACTTTCAACTTATTTAAACACATTATTTGGTTTTAATGACCTTGTAGCTGAACATCCTTACTGATTTGGGGAAGGGGGTTCTAGTGGGGGACACACTTCACAGAGCTTGGGGGTTGCTTCTAGAGGGTTCAGATGACCAGACACTAAGCTCTGGGCTCCCACATGCAAAGCACATGCTCCAGCCCTCTAAGTTAGCTCCCTTGCCCTGGGAATCATTTTTCTCTCTCATTGTCACTGGTAAAAACTCAGTAGTTTCATCTCTATCAACTGATGACTAGGAGACACTCTGATGATAAATAATGGTCTACTCCTTTTTCAAGTCATAAGAATTTCCTCAATAGATCCTATCACTTGAAAACAAAAAATATGAAAAAAAAAAGACAAAAATATGTGTGCTAAGAATGATTTAGCTGCATTCATCTCTAAATCATGTAAGTGGCAAGGTGGAGAAGAGATACAATTTTATTTTCTGGCCTTTTTATTGTTATTCTGGCAATCTGGGCTTGCACTTTTATTTCTAGATGTTAATCCACTGAGTATCTTCACACTTGACCCCAACCGATGAACATTACTCTAAAACATCAATAATTAAGTTAAAGACCACAGAGGGGCCCTCTATCCCTTTGATTCTGAAGAGGGAAAGCCTTTTTCTGGACATAAAGCAATCCAAAAAAGTTGAAAACTGAGTTGCTGTCCAGTGAGGCAGGAAGGAGTGGCAGGTTTGTAAAACCAAACCTGGAACCTCCCTGCACCATTCCTCTGTACAATAAAAACCTTTCCCTCTCCACGATCTAATCTATTTTACTGGTTTCTAAGGACACCTCCCTTAATTCTAATCTCCAATAAATATCCAGTCTAAATTTATCTCTACCCAATTATTAAACTTTTTTCACAAGCTCCATGGGGGGAGATTTACCCTGAGACAAATAGTGGGCAGAGCGGAGATTTTAGAAAGACATACAAGGCAAAGTGATCCCAGTATCAGAAAGGAAAATATTTGACGAGACTGTAATTCAAACAGGTTAAGATATACATGAATTTGCTATGAGGAAAAGGAATTATTTATGATTATTCATGAGACAGGTATACTGAGCTATGTCTTAGCTGGTTTATGCACGGGATGACTTATTTTAGGAAAGAAATGGGTAGAAGGCAGCCTCATATTGCAGAGGGTAACAATGGGACTAAGGACACACAAAATTTTGCATGCAGAAATGCACAAACTAAATCCAAATTCTCTAACTCCTTTTCTCCAGTTTTCCTGTAGATGCAGACCAGGGTCTGGCCTCTACGTAGCACACAAAGGAAAATCAGGGGAAGCAGCAACAGATTAGACACCTGGAGGCTGTTCCCACACCAGATTTTTTGGGGAGTGGGGAGGGCGGAAGGGGTTGACTGTGCTTAGGGCTTACTCCTGGCTCTTGGGTCTGGGATCACTCCTGGAAGTCTTGGAAGAACATCTGGGGTAGGGTGAATCAAACCTGGGTCAGCCGCATCAAGGCATGCAGCTTATCTGCTGTACTATCACTCTGGCTCCCCCCACAGGAGTTTTAAGCTAGATCTTCTGAAGCACTTTCCACCGAAGCTAGACAACCTGGGTTTCTACCTATCCAAACCCCACCTAGCCCTCAGGGTCATCCTCCCTGGTCCACTCTCATCGGATCTAGTCCCCCAAGCTGAAGAATACAAAGCTTTTCAGATCTTTGCCAAAGTAATTTTTAAAAAGTGTGGTTTGTTTGAACAGTTACTCTGTTGGATCATCTTTTAGTAACATTCCCTCCCCCCCTTTTCTGCCCCCCTCAGTCCTGTATGATTACATCATCATCCTCCTCCTCCTCCTCCTCTTCCTCCTCCTCCTCTTCTTCATCCTCATCTTCGGGCAGTTCCTCCTCCTCTTCTTCCTCCTCTTCATCTAAACAAACCACCACTTCAGCTGGCTCAGGTAACCGAGAGTCAAACCAGTCCAGTACCTGCTGGGTGCTAAGCCTTGATGCCTGACTCAGTTGAGGGATGTCACTTTCCTGAAGCCGCTGGTGAGCTGCCCAGTACCTCTCCAAGGGTTGTATATCTGGTGGGGGTGGGGGAGTCGGCAGAGGTGGCGTGTCCCATTCATTCAGAGAGCGGGCTGAAGGCGGTGGTGTGGGAATAGCCAGGTCCTGGAAGCTAGGAGCACCAGGTACTGCGTTGTCCCGAAACCATTTAAGCTGCCCATGCTTCAGGGCATAGCGTGTGTCCCCAAACCACTGAATAATCTCAGGCCGAGGTAAACCAGTGATCTGTTCTAATTTATGGTAATCTTCACGCCGTGCCCACTGGCACTGTAAGAAAAATGATTTGAGGATAGCCAGCTGTTCTTTGGTTTTGCGCTTGGTCTTTCGCTGGCGCTGTATATCTGGGCAAAGGTACTCTGCCAGGCCAGCCCTACCTGCTGCTGAGTTATTATTCCTTAGCCTGTCGGGCCAGGTTGGCTCCAGCGGAGAGGATCGTGCAGGTTCACTGGATGACAATGATTGTGGAAGACAGCCCAGGGGCTGCTGGGGTTTAGAGGTGGCAGCACCTCCATTAGACAGTACCTGGAAAGAGGAAGAAGAGGTAGAGGAGGAGGGAGGAGTCACTTTAGATGCCGACTCGGGCTTATAACTACTGGCAAGTAAGGGGAGTGTTTGGGGCTGATCCCTAGCCTGTGGCTGGAGAGCTGTGGAGGGGCTCCAGGAAGGAGGACCACAGCTATGCGGTGGGTGGGGACCCCTGCCCACCTGTTCCTTAGGGAGGCCACTGCTTGTAAGATCGTGCCATAGCTCTGGTTGGTGGAGGAATGCCTCACCGCCAGGGGCCTTCGAGGGCGTTTTTGCTTTCTGGTGATTCAGTGGCTCTGGGGAGTCCCCAGGCTCTACCTTCAATCCTTTGATTTGGGTGGACTTGCTAAGAGCCATGGGCACTGATGTTCCGGCTTGCTCAGGTGGTGGCAGGGAAGGAGGTGCCTCCTCTGGGGGCCGCCCCACATGAGTGAAAGAGAGGAGGGATTTGAAATGGAGCTGGTCGTGATGGTAGGCCACTCGTGCTCGAGTCTCTTCTATTTCTTCAGATGACCAGCTGATGCCACAGCGAAGGCGCTGGGCCATGAACCAAGTCTTGACTTTCTCCATCTGCAGCCCGTAGCGGAGGCAAAGGAGGGCGATGTCTGCTAGACTGGGATAGGGAAAGTAGCTGAAGGTTTGTAGCAAATGCTCGTTGCCATCCAGCTCACTCGTCTGGGCTGCTTGGGTCCACACAAGCTGTAGATCCTCTGAAATTGGAGGGAGGCAGATGAGCCCTGTAGGAGAGCTGTTAAGACTGTTGGCCTCTTTATTAGGAGCCATGGTGTTTTCTGATTTGTGCTCCTCAGAGATAGCTGTTAACAAGAAAAGAAACAACCCAATCACTAGGGCTCCTCTTTCCACCCACTGCCCAGTTTCTACCGAAAAAGGTGCTGGGTTCCAAAACAGTCTTTTCTACTGTGACATGCCAAACTGCTTTTAAGGTGCTATAGGTTTTGTTTTAATTTTCATAACCTGATGAAGTAATCAGCACCTGCTCTAATTCCTCTTCTGTGTATGGAAAAGCCAAAGTGGACTTTGGAGAGCCGTGGAATGGCTCCAGGAAAATAAATTAAAAATACTCTATGTATTTTTTTAAATAAATAAAAATATTTAAAAAAATATTCTAAGTAAAAGGTAAAATACTCCAAGGTCCCAGGACTACGAAGTACTGTCACCAAGACGTATCTTAAGGGAGTGAGGTTCAGGAAGAAAACCCAACCTTATATAACAGGGCCTTTATCTTTGTAGTTCCTGCTCCCTTCACCCTCTACAGTCATAGCATAAAAGTTACAAAATGAAGACTCAGTGGTAAAGACAAAGGGAGCCATAATCTCAGCTGTTACAAATGCTTATACTGTAGCGCCTAACAAGTTATGATTATCTCAGGACTGTGGAGGAATGTTCTCCTGCCCAGCTCCTCTATCCCTTGCCCTCCCTGGTGCTGCAGTAGTGTTGGTGAGGGGGGAAGGGAGAGGAGGGGTGTCAACACCTTTAAGCACCAAACCCCAAACCAGTTCTATTTTTCTCTCACAGTAGGAGGTAGGGCCGGCACCTGAAAGGGGCTTATTGAAACCCTCAGGGCTTGGGTTCCCAGGGGTTGGGGAAAAGGGAATGTTTCCTCCCCCAAGTCATCCTCAGAACAAAGGCTATCCCCTCCCCCCAGCCTTTGTCTCTTTCAACTGCCAGGTCTCGCTCCAGGGAGTCCCAGGGCCAGAACTTTAACAGCCCCCACAACCCAGGGCAGAAAGCCTGTGGCTGGTATCTCACCTCGGCCCTGGTGGGCTGGGAAACTGTAAACAAATCCTCCAAGCCCTGCAGCAGTACCACCATTCCCAGACCCTCGGATTAACGTGGGCACCACGGGCATAGCCCCGCCATGCTTCTTCCCGGAAACACTTGAGTCATAACTATTCTGCAGACTGAATTTGAACTCACTGACATATGAGGACATTTGCCTCTTTAGCCCACTTTCTACCCTCTCCTCAAAGAATGCCAACTTTCTAAACAGTACTTCTAATGTTAAGGATAGAACAGGATTTCTATGTGAATGTACAGGAGGAAATGAGAAGAATCTCAAATCCAAAATGTTGCAGAGTAATTAAGACCAGAGTTTTTAATGTGATATTTTAAAAACCTTGGGAGCAGTTTAACTTGCCACCATTCCTTTTGTAGCAAGCAAAAGTTAAAACTAAGGACTGTATAACCTCAAGGCAAATGAAGGCAGCAAGATGGAGTAGGTAGAAATGATTCTTGGTTAAAATTAACTTGTAGTCTCAGCCCTTGTTCTGCCTCTATCAGCAATGTGATCTTGGGTAAAATTTCCTGATTTTTTTTTCTTTTTGGGTCACACCAGAGATCCTCAGGGGTTACTCCTGGCTCTGCACTCAGGAATTACTCCTGGTGGTGCTCAGGGGACCATATGGGATGCTGGGATTCGAACCCAGGTCGGCCACATGCAAGGCAAACACCCTACCCGTTGTGCTATCGCTCCAGCTCCCCTCCTGATTTTTTTAAACTGAGTTTTGTCATTGTTGAGAGAGAGAGAGAGAGAGAGAGAGAGAGAGAATGTATAGGAGGTCATTTATTCTCACCCACCCATCACGAACTGTGTGCTGTAGCAAGCAGAGGGGGATGCCCAAAACAGCTGTTTATAAGCAAACCCTACTGAGTGAGGCACTTTTGAGATGAGTCATGACTCAGCCACTGCCTAGGATACTGCTTGTCCTAAGTTATTGAACATCTTAAAGCTTTATTTTCTAGTCAGAAAAACTAAATTATATGGGCCAGATAGTAAATCAGGTAACTTATCTTACATGCAGCTGGCTCCAGTTTGATCCTCAGCACCACATATTGGTCCCCTTGTATTGCCAGGAGTGACCTTTGAGCACCTCTGAGTGTGACCCAAAAGAGCAAAAAGAAAATGGTAACAGTGTACCTACCTTGAAAAGTTATGACTAAAGTGTGTGGGTTGTTTCATTTTAATAAGGCCCTTTAATACTTGAAGGGTTGGATCTCTGTAGTACAGTGGGCAGGGCTCTTGCCTTACATGCAGCAGACCCTAGTTTGATCCCTGCACCATATATGGTTCCCTGAGCCCCACCAGGAATGATCCCTGAGTTGAGAGCCAGGAGTAAGCTTCGAGCACTGCAAGGTATAGCGGACACTCCCGCAGCCCCCAAAGAAACAATGCACTAGATATTACACCTAGAACAAAGTAAAGGCCAAATAAATAGAAGGTTTATCTTCAGCTTCCCAGGTGATGTAAGGTAATGTGAACACAGGAAATGAACTGCTTTAAAATGATTCTTCAGTTTGCTTTTGCAGAGTCCTACTTCTAACCAGCAGCAGAGGAAAGTAGGGTATCTATGACTTTGTACTTTTTATATATTGGGAAGTTGGCTATCATAAGAATGAATTTGCTGCTTTCAGAGAAATGAATTCATGATTTGTTTTTGACTGCCAGTCGGAGAGCCAATGTGGTAGCTCTATCTTTACCTTCCAGGTTCGCCCCAGACACTGAGTGGTCTCTGAGGAGCTGGCTCACATGGCCAGGGGCTAAACCGCCACTGAGAAATCCTTGGTGCTCCAGCAACACCAAACCGAAGCTGGAAAAATAAACCAAAACTATGATCACCAACAATTGATATCTATATAATCTATTTGTGCCCTGTTCTTTAAGAACAATAACCTCAGATGTGAGGGAAATGTAGCATAACAAAGCAGTCTGTCAGATGAAAATTAAAGCAGGCACAGTTATAAACCAAAAAGGAAACATTTGCTTTTGTTCAAGTTGTTTTCTGTCCTTCAGATTCTCCTGGCATCACCTAGTTGCTTCATTGTGACATTCAGTAATGCACAGAACATATTTGATTCACTGTACACATACAAAATAGTGGTCCAATTAAGGTACAGCTTATAACTGTTACCTCCCCTAAAAGTGAAAGAATATGACTTTGAAATAAGAAGAAACTTTTACCAGAGTATCTTCTAAGAGCTATAGCAGTTGAGTAGACCCCACTTGTACACATTAATGACTTATGTTTTTGTGCCTCTATTTTGGAAGATGGAAAAAGGAAAACAAGAAAAATAGAATTTCTGAGGGTAGAGATGATAGTGGGGGAGTTTTAGTATTTAATGATTATTAAATTTATATCCTTATTAAATTTGCCAAATACCAAACTTGGAACTTAAAATTGTGAGTGAAAAGGGATAATCCCCTTCAATCTCTTTGGCTTTCCATAACTGGGCACCTGGCAGTAAAGAATACCCTTAACACCCAGTCTCGGGGTTCATACATTTATGGGGGAGATTAGACTTGAGCCCAGCTTATAGTCACAGGACAGTTCAAGAGGGTGACTAAACATTACCCTGTTAAATATTGTGGACCTTTATTCTGAGAACTGCCTGACGGCTTGAAGAAATACTTCAGTGATGCAATTTTAAGGGCCTTAGAGAACTTATAGTGATAATCCACTGATGTGCTTAACTTTTTGAACGACTTTTATGATAATCAGATAAGTTACAGACTTGCAAGAAGTTATGACCCCTCCCTCCAAAATCAGCATTCACACACTATATATATACTAGGGCTAGAGCGATAGCACAGTGATAGGGCGTTTGCCTTGCGCGCAGCCAGCCCGGCCCAGCCGAGGCGGGTTCGATTCCTCTGCCCCTCTTGGAGAGCCGGGCAAGCTACCATATCTCGCTTGCACTGCAAGCCTGGCAAGCTACCCGAGACATATTCGATATGCCAAATACAGCAACAAGTCTCAAAATGGAGACGTTACTGGGCCCACTTGAGCAAAATCGATGAACAAAGGAGGACAGTGACAGTGACACCATATCTCAACGGTGTTCACTGACTGCCCAGAAGCCTTGGAAAGAGCCCCTACCTTATGTACTCTCAACAAACACAATGATAACTGCTTAGAAAAGCAACAAACAGCTTGATAGGCATGAATGGCAAGAGTGGACTTAAAAGAATTGAAGTCTGAAAGGGACCAGGTATTAGTGACATTAGTGGCAGTGGAAGAGTAGAGTATCCAGCTGGGGTGGAAGCCTGGCTTAAGTGACCTACAGGATCACATAAAAGCCACAGTACTAGCACTATGAATGGCTGGGATGGTGCTCTCCACTGTGTGACTTCTGCTTCCTTCATCTGCCTAGTGTGCTTGGTCCAGTTGTGTGCGATTCCAACCCACTTATGACACTTGTTTTTCTCTACAGAGTAATATAATTAAACACACAAGCCTACGAAAACTAATACATTAAAAATTGTTCCCATGAAAACAAACGTGCTTTGAAAAGACAATAAAGGAGTGTACATTCTTTTTTTTCCTTTGGTTTTTTGGGACACACCCAAGCCAGTGCTGCTCCTGGCTTACTCTAGGCTCTAAGTTTAATGATCACTCCTCCTGGGACCACCTAGGGTGCCAGGTTGCATTCAAGGCAAATATCTTAGCCACTGTACTATCCCCTCAGGTCCCAAGGAGGGTAACAAGGAATGTGCAAGACAAAGGTAAAAAAAGGACTGGAGAGACGGGCTTCAAAAATCTAAAAAAAAATTTTTTTCCCTATATTTTGATTGGTTCAATAAAGTTTTAATTTCTCTCTCCATCTCAGAGAAATCAAACCAGGAAATCATAGGTGAGACGCAAGGGTTTTCATCTCAGACAGCACACTAGAATTACCAGGGAAACTTAAACCAGGGCACCCTTCTCCTAATTTAATTAGTCTGGATCCTGGCCCAGGCAGTCCAAAGCTTTACAAGCTTTCAGGGTGTAGCCAAATTTAAGATTCACTTGTGTAGTTGTATTAGAAAGACAACTGGGAACCTGAGCACTAACAAAGAAAAATACTCAACCCCGAAAAGACTGAAATGAGCCTACTTTTAATTCTTAAGCTATGTATTATTTAAAATTGCCCAACCTAAACTGACTTTTAAGGTTCTTGCGATTACTGCCTTCCACCTACCCGAGTCTCATAATATAAAGGGGTTCCAAGTGTATGGTGAGGAAGTTCGTCTGGGAAGAGGTACCCTAGTGGGGGCCCACATTACCAAACAGGTCTCGGCTTGAGTTTTCTCCTTTCGGTTTAGAAGCCTCCTACGGTTGGGCGCAACAGCAGGAACCTCTCGGGACTCGGTTCTCTTTCCTACGTGGTTTTCGGATACGGCTGGAGAGGGGTTCAGAGGGAGCGCCTGTCGTAAACCTCTCGTTCCCCGAGGCCCTGCCTCCCCAAAGTCAGTGCAGGTCTCGCAACGTGTGTTGAGGTCGCCATGAGAGGGGGTGGGGGGTGCTGGAGGAGAGGAGGCCTTGGGAAGGCAACGTTTCTCCTACCCTCCATTTCACAGTCTCAATGCCTCAAAACTGGGTCAGAGAACAAAAAAGTTGGTGCACTTGGGGCGACGAACCCCAGGGAGTTAGGCGAACCCTAATCCTCCCCCTCGCCAAGGGCGTCCCAACGCAACCTTCCCCTCCTCCCTACACACCCACTCGCCCTCCCCCCCACCCCCCGTTACAACGGGAAACCAAAAAGTCCGGAGGAGGAGAAAGGAGAGAATGGGGGCGACTTCGAACCTAGAATTCTCCAACCCGCCCCCCAAGCACGGGGATGGAGCTCCGGAGGTCGGAGATCATACAGGGGCTGGGAAGCGAAGTCCCAGGGGCTGGGGATCACTCACCGCTGTCCGGCCCGGGCGGCGGCTCCCAGCCTCGCACCAGGGGCCGGGGGGAGGGGGAAGGGGAGAAGGGGCAGGGGGTCTCCGGGGTGGGAGTGGAGCTGCTGCCCGCTGCGGCCTGCTCCGAGCCACCCGCGCGGAGGGCAGGGACCGGGACTGCCCCTCCCGCCCCCGAGAGCGCGCCCGTCTAGCCCAGCCCTGCTCCAGCGAGTTGGAGGCGGGGCGGACGGGAGGGGCGGTGCCAAGGCGGCCGAGTCCTGATTGGTGGGCGTAGGTGGGCAGGCCCGGCCGAAGGTCCTGGGCTTCCATTGGCTGCGTCGGACCTCGGCTGAAGTCTACTATTGGCTGGGTGGGCCGCGACCGCGGTGGCTATTGGTGCGTGAGTCGGGGAAGATGTCCCCTGGGGCCAGGATGCCGCGAATGGTACTTCCCCCCACACCCTCGCCCTCTCGGCGCTGGACCTGCGAAATGGACCGGGCTCCTTTCCTCTCTGAATTTCCCAGGATCGACAGCACTTTGCTGAACTTTTTGGCCCTCCAAGAACGGAAGGAAGACCCTTCAGCAATCCCCTTGCCAACTTTAGGCACGGGCAGCGCCCGCCCAGCTGAGGGACCGGTTGCCGTCCGGCATCACTAAACGAAGTGCTCGCAGCAACGGGAAACTTGCTCTCGCGAAGGATCAAATATCTTGTCAACCGGAAGGACGAGAATCCTAGGAGCCCGCGCCTTTTGCCGCTTCAGTTCCCAACATCTGGTACCAACGGTGAGTTCCAAAGAGGGCGTCACCTCTTTGGAACCCCCGTTCTTCCCTGCCCTAGTAACCGGGGGAGCCTTATATTAGGATCTCGGGGTTTTTATTGCCAAAAAAGGAATGACAATAAAATTAACTCTACACAAGCACTATTCCATACACTCGGAAGTTCTGGGCCAAAAGTTTGGCCATTTAATGGTTTCAGTGTCTTTGCTAAAACTTGGGAATACCTTCTGAAGTGACTTAGGTTCTCGTGCGAGCCTCTGAAAATGTCTTTTGCCTATTTAAGTCACAATACCTAATGTTACTACAAAAATGTATTAAAAATATCTCAGGTGTCCTGGCTTCTGCCAGCCTCCACAGTCAAGCACCATAACTTTCCCCCTACACCTGAGTCATTGCTCCTTGCCCAAGCAGCACTTCGTGATTGCCAGACATCAGGAATCTTAAAGCGCTAAGCCTCATTGTCTGTTGCTGCTTCTTGTATATGCCCTAGTTTCTCCACACCCCATTTTAAAAACAAAGGGTTTGTTTTTTATTTTGGCTTTTCGGGTCACATCTGGTGGTGCTTAGGGCTTACTCCTGGCTCTGCATTCAGTAATCACTCCTGGTAGTCCTTAGGGGACTATATGGGATGCCAGGACTATATGAACCTGGGACAACCACATGCAGGACAAATACTCTACCCCTTGTACTATCTCTCTGGCCCCTGAAGCCTGACTCCGTTTGTGGGTTTCTTCATCCACAAATCCAGGGACAAGTGCCTGAGAATAGGGATTCAAGTCATTCTCAATGTAGAACGATTAATCCTCCATTTTGGGGGGAAACTTTTGCCTCTCTTTTGGTTTGCTTGAATCAGATACACACTTCCCTACCCTATTGCTAAATATTCATTTTTGTGCTTAATATTTCTTTAAAAGGGCTCCAGGGCAGAGAACTAGTAGAGCAGGTAAGTCACCTGGCCTTGCACAATCCCTGGCACCCCATATAATCCCTCAGAGTCCCCAAAGGAACCCTGAGTCAAAGTAAACCCAGGACCAGAAGTTAAGTCCTGAGCACTGTCAGATATGGCCTCAAATCCAAAACTAAATGCGCCTGTGGGGCCAGAGAAACAGTACCATAGGTGAGGCACTTGCCTTGCACCCAAGTTCAATGTCCGTAACCCTGACCTGACTCACCAGAAGTATACTCTGAGCACAGAGCCAGGAGTAAGTCCTGAGCACTGCTGTGTATGGTCCCCAACCCGAAAGTAAATAAAAAGGCTTTAGAATTTTTATGCTTCTGACACCTCAATACTTGTATCTACTCCTGGGACTGACTGCTGTGAATTTCTGCAAGATTTCGGGGCAGATGGCTCCAGTGCTGTTTCCTTAGAAGTTCTGTAATTAAAGGGTGACACCAACCACAACTGCAAGTATTGAAGACATGAGGTGCTGAAAGCTGTGATGAGAGGATGTGGAAAGTTTTTGGACAAACCAACCTACCAGTATGAGCACATGGGAAGTCTTGAAGGACATTTAAGGTCCCCAGGACTCGAGCCAGGGAGAACCCCCTTGGAAAGCCCCACTTACCTCTCCTTGGGTGTCTGCTCCGCATGCTGACTTTACCGTTCACATCAGGGTTCACAGTACACAGGGAAGCTTGAGCACTATGCAGTGACATCACAGCTTGGCCATTATGATGTCATGAGGGACCTATTTCTGTTACTCCATTCTAGATAAGACAGAGGGCCTTGCCTTTCTAACATGTTTCTTGTCCTTTGCTTTAGGGTCTTCCTTGAATAGGAAAAAAGTTTTGTCCTTCCCTTCAGTGCATAAGGAGTAAAATATAACTTGGATGGCCTCTTTACGAGCATCCCATAAGAAGAAATGGGTTTGACTCAATTGTTCCCCTCTCACTGCACCAGCAGCTGCTGGTACCAGGCAACTGTACCAGGGAACATGCTGGGATCTGGCAACTTCCCCTGTTGTGGAGGAAGAGCTGCTGAGAGCCTATCGTGGTGTCTTCTGCAAAGGCTGTCCAATCCCTCTATCTTCCCAACCAATTTTTGCCTAGCTAGAGAACTCCAGCCTTATCTTTATTAATTTGATGCTCAGGGATCACTCCCGACTCTCTGATCAGGAATTACTCCTGACTATGTAGGAAGCCGGGGATTGGACCCGGGTCAGTCACGTGCAAGGCCATTCTGCTACCATCGCTCTGGCTGCCTCCGTCTCGTCTATAAAGGGATAGGACTATAAAATGGGGGTGGGAGATGAATCTTGCCTCTGGTCTCTTGCCACCCTCAGCCCAGAACCAACACCACTCTCACCATCTTTTACTTTCAAGTTTCAGCTTTATTTTGATGACGTGTGTCCGGACTGGAAGGCAGCTGCATGATGAAGCGCAAGTGAGGCACTAGACTAGTGGATTTTCTTCCCCGCCAACATGGATACACGGTGAAGGGGTGGGGAGGTTCCAGGACAGCCTGATAAGTATCAGAGTTCTGGAGAACAGCTCACACAGCACTTTCCTTTCCTCTCATTGCACGGGTAGCGTATTCCATTTTTACCTGTTTTGGTTTTTGGACCGCACCTGGCAGTGCTCAGGTCTTACTTCTGTTTCTCAGAGGCCCATAGGAGGTGTTGGGGATCAAACCCAGGTTGGCCACACATAAGGTAAGCACCCTATTCACTATACCACTGAATAGGCTTGGACCCCTATTCTCTTTTTAACATCACCTGTTTAGCAGGATCACCAAAAGGGAGTACCACCGCTGGGAGTACAGGAAAAATTCCAAGTCCCCTTTGTTTCTCTCTATGCCTATATGAGGAAGGGAACAGGAATTAGTACAAGAAAATAAAACATTTCTACTGTTTTCTCTCTTGCGGAGAATCCATGTGTAGGGGGCCTGTTTACTAGCTGGAGTATAGGATGTGGTCCAGTGGCCTGGGTGTAAGCTCCATCTCAAGCTGCAGCAACAGTTTCTGCCCTTGCCCAATCACTTATCACCTCTCTACCTGTGGGCTCATTATCTGTAGAGGAGTCTGGAGCCAGTGGTACCTAAAGAAAAGCCTTTTCAGGCCTCCAAGACCTGCGGATTGCAAGGATCCAGAGCAACTCCAGTGAAACATGAGTTAGGGCTTGTTATGAAGATGATGAGCTACATTCACAGAGGAACAACGGAATAGGAGGAAGGCTGTGACAGGATGGCATAGGAAGATACCTGGGCTCTGGATGAAAGCAAAGGGCCAGTGTTCCTGTGTTGCTTCAAAGACCTGACCATACCTCCCAAATGAGGGCTCAAGTGTTTGTTGCTACATTCATACAACCAATGATCTTTGTAGGGAAATGCCCGCCTCAGTGCTTAAAGATGGCACCAAACCCCAAGTGTTTTCCAGCCAGGTTAGACTATCCATTCCCCGCTAGGACATAGGGCAGCCCTATATGGGAAGAACCAGAAGACTTGTGTGGGTTTCATAAAGCTGAGAATGGGGCATGGGTCAACAATTAGTACATTAGGGTTTTTTTTGGGGGGGGGCAGGGGGAGGGGGGGCTACAGCATGCTCCACTTACTCCTGGCTTTGTGTTTAGGAATTACTCTTGGTGGTGCTCAGGGGACCATATGGGGTGTCAGGGATTGAACCCAAGTCAGCTGCATACAGGAAAATGTTCTATCTGCTGTGCCATCACTTTGGCCCGACAATTGGTCCTTTTCAGAGAAGAGCTCAACTAACAGTGAATAGTCTTGATTGCCTGAACTCACACGGTTTACATTTATATATCTAGCAAATACCAGTGCTCCCTGAGAGGGCCAAGCATGGAACACCCAGGGAAAACTTTTAAGGAACTGGCCTGTTTGGGGAGTGGGGAGAGCAGGGAGGGGAATCCCCACAGATGAAATTACCAAGTTCTTTGGCAGGAAGGCGGTGTGGTCCCTAGCTGCTCCTGCAGTCAGGACGCTGGCACAAGAGACAGCAGCGAGGTCCTGAGAGGAGCCGATGAAGTGTGAGGGCCTCAGTGCTTTGCCTTCTAAGTCAAGCCAGTTCTGGAGACTGGAAGGAGGGGAAGGCAGTGCACCATTAGGAACCAAGGGCTTTTCTTATCAAGAGACTCTTGTGGATTCCTGGCTCCGTACTCATGGATCAGCCCTGGTGGGCTTGGGGTATCATACGGGGTGTTGAGGAACAAACTGGGATTGGCGTGTGCGAGGCAAATGCCCTACCCACTAAACTCATTCTGGCCCTTCAACTGTTTTTACTTTTTGGGTCACACCCAGTGATGTACAAGGGTCACTCCTGGTTCATGCACTCAGGAATTACTCCTGGCTGTGCTTGGGGGACCATATGGGATGCTGGGAATCGAACCCGGGTCGGGCCGCATGCAAGGTAAACACCCTACCCACTGTGCTATCACTCCAGCCCCCCTTCAACTGCTTTAAAATGTTTTAACAGCACAAAGGCTTTGCAGATTTCTCATGCTCAAAATACTAGTCCTGCTGTTTTATAAACTGAGATGGTGAACAAATGACAGGATTTTTTTTAAGCTATCACCATAGTTAGCTTGATCTAACAGTTATGCATATACATTAAGCAAAAGATTACTATGTGCACCAACTGCTCAGGAGCTGGATCGAGCACAACCAGGTAGAGCGCTTGCTTTCCTTGTATGCAGCTGACCTGGCTTTGATTCCCAATACCCCATATGGTCCCCCAAATATTTGCAGAATGATTCCTGAGCACAGAGCCAGGAATAACCCATGTATGATGGGGTGGTCCCCAAAACAAACACAGCACAACACACATTGTTGGCTTTTCAGTAGTTTCCCTTTTCACTCTGCTAGAATTTTGACCTGAAGGAGATCCAAAAGAAGCGTGGTTTTAGGGCTGAAGAGATAGTACAACAGGTAGGGCATTTGCCTTACACATGGCCGACCTGGATTCAACGCCCGGCATCCAATACGGTCCCCAGAGCACTGCCAGGAGTAATTCCTGAGTGCAGAGCCAGCAGAAACCTCTGAGCACTGCCAGGTGTGACCTAAAAAAACAAAAAACACCTGCATGGTTTTGTTTTCTGTAACATCTAGGGATGATGTTTAAATGGACATGTGAATGAGAATTCAGGGATCTTTTCAGTTATCTTTCTTCCAAAGATTAAGACTTTGGGTGCCTCACACCCTCTACTGTGAATGCATATACAGCTATGGATGTGGTCTCTTGCTGGCTCAGTGATTAGGAAGCAGGGTGCAGGGAGCTGCTTTTCCCGGGAGATCCTTCTTCATTAATAGCATCAGAACCCCTTGTTCTCCCTTTTAGAGGATTGTCAAGGAGCCTAAGGGAGGAAGGTGGATCAACCATAATCCTTGAGGAAAAGAAGTAGGTTATAGACCCTTTCTAGAGGAAAAAGAAACAGAGATCACAGGAATGAAAAGGGGGACAAGGGAAACAGAAGATTGAAGGTAAGGAGGCCAGAGCGATAGTACAGTGAGTTTGCACATAGATGACTTGGGTTCAATTCCTGGTATCCCATATGGTCCCCCAAACACTGTCAGGAGTAAAGCCTGAGCACTGCCGGATGTGGCCCAAAGAAACAGAAAAGGTAGAACCCTAAATACTTTAAGAAAAGCGAGAGTGATGAGAGGGAAAAGGAAAGGGTATGCAGAGCTCAGGAGTGGGAAAATGCCGCTTTCTCAGGTAAAGGTTAGGGAGATAAAAAGATATGAACATGAATGGGTAAGAGAATGGTCAAACTGATTCTTGGAATATTTTCCATTTCTTATACCCATAATGCATTATTCTCGAGAAAACAGTTTCCTTTTATCCTTTTTTTCCCCTTTATACATCCAAAACTGGGGGCTGGAGTAATATCACAGCAGGTAGGGCATTTGCCTTGCATGCAGTCAACCAGGTACGATTCCCAGCATCCCTTATGGTCCCCTGAACACCACCAGGAGTAATTCCTGAGCGTAGAGCCAGAAATAACCCTTGTACATTGCCAGGTGTGACCCAAAAAGCAAAAAATAAATAAATATACATTCCCCAACAGAGACATATACCTCCCCCAGAGCTGAAAGCACCTAGCCTGGAAGTTTGGGAGGCAAGAGAGAAAAGCCAGGCCAGGGACAGAGGATGAGCTATGGTTTGAGAGGCCCTAGACTGAGGCTCTAGCTCTTGATGGGATGCTTCCTGGATTGTGGAACATCAGACTCCAAATCTGGAGGACCTGTCTTCAACCCCAACCAGGCACTTGGGGTGCAATGCTCTGAACTGTAACACTCCTAGCATAAGAGGATGAATGCAACTTCTCAACTGCAGAAATGCCAAAGCCAGAAAGGGACACTAGACATCACTTAATAACAACTTCCCAGAGAGAAAATGGTCCTGAAGAAATGAAATGAACTGGCCCAAAGGTATGCAGCTTATCAGTAATCCTTTTCTGAGGCAGAAAGGATGGCAATTCTTATAAACTATTATCCCTTGACAAATTCATAAAGTGCTTAGAGGTCATTGAAAGGCACTCCAGAAAGGTAAAGTTGGCATTTTTTTCTGGAAGCCCCTGAGTGTATCAACCCCTTAGGCCAGCTTAATGGTCTAGCTACAAAGAGAGGCCTGGAGTTGGTTTCCCCTTCATTTTAATCCCCAAGACTGCCTCCCGGCTAGAGGAAGGAGCTCCCTCAGCCAGTCCTGGAGACTCCAAAGTGACAAGGGAGTCCTGTCATAATGCCAGGCTTAGGAGTAAGGGCCAAGTTCCTGGGATGTGAGCAAGGCAATTAAGGTCAAGTTTAAAGCTAAGATGAGCGAGCTGCGGGCCCGCAGGTGGTAAAAGCCCGTAAGAAAGGGCAATGAGCCAGCAATCCAACGGTCATCAAATGAACACCCTTACTTCCCACTGGAGCCTGCCTCAGTCCCAAAGAAGCGCCTTAACCAGGACCATCCTGGCTGGGTCTGACGGGCCTGCCACTCTCCCCCGGGGCCCACAGACACCCTCGAGGTCACTGTCATTCCCCCACCCGCTACCCCTTCTGCTCGGATCTCAGCTCCCCGGGGCTCTGCAAAGCCCGGGAGGAATCCCAAGTGCAACCCACCTCAATCTCCTGCACCTCCGCACACTGCGCCCACGCCCCTTCGGGACGCCCCCCTCCCCCAGCCCCCTCTCCCTCCTCCTCTCGGACTCCTCCAACAGCTCCCCGCCCATCTCGGTTTCGCCTATTCCCCTTCCGGACACATCTTCGGGTTCCCCCAGCCCTGGGTGCCTCGGGCGTCGGTACCCCGCGATCGCTGGGGTGAGGTGGTGCTGTGGGGGCGGGGGTCTTAGATAAAATGGATCCAGCCCTGGGGCTCCGGGGCGCCGCCACTGCCCGGGTGCTCGGGCCCACGGAGAGCGTAGTCGCGGCCGCCGTTGTTGTCCCAGAATTCGAGGCCGGTGACGCGGTAGCGTAAGGCGAAGAGCAGGGCGCCCCCGACGGGCGGCGCGGGCAGGCGGAAAGCGAAGCGGTCGGCGCGCGGCGGGGGCGGGGCGGGGCCGGCGTAGGCGGCGGGCGCCTCGCGCTGACTCCGCCAGCCGTCGGCGCTCCAGCGCACGCTCACGCGCTTCTCGTAGGCCAGGTCCAGCACGCGCGCGCTCCCTGCCACGCCCAGCGGGCCCGCCTCGGCGCGTTCCAGGCAGATGCGCTGAGCCTGCAAGCGGGCGGCGAAGTCGGGCTCGCTGGCCGGCTCCAGGGCCGCGCGCGCCTCCTGCGGAGGGGAGGGGAGGGAGGGAAAAGGAGGAGCCGCCGTCAGGGGGCGGGGAAGAAGGCGGCACAGAGGCACTGGCCAATCAGAGGCTGAACGCGGCGACCCGGCCGTCAAGGGGCGAGGAGAGGGCGGGGTCAGAACGAGACGCTGAACCAATCAGAGGCTGACTTCGGCGTCCGGCAGCCCAGGGACGAGGAGAGGGCGGGGTCAGAGACGCTGGGCCAATCAGAGGCTGACCGCGGCGTCCCGGCCGCCAGTCGCGAGGGGAGGGTGGGGTCAGAATGAGACGGTGGGCCAATCAGGCTGGACACGGCGTCCGGCCGCCAAAGGGGCGAGAAGAGGGCGGGGTCAGCGAGACGCTGGGCCAATCAGAAGCTGGCCGCGGCATCCCGGCCGTCAAGCGTGGGCCCAGCTGGGAAAATGGCTATAGAAGAACCACTCACGGACTGGGAGCTTCCTCCCCCCCAAAGGGCAAGGGCAAGTCTTGGGTTGGGCACAGAGAGGCATGTTTCTGGACAAGTCTGGTCCCACATTCCCACTGCGCTCGGGTGGGGGAAGCCTCGAGCAAGGGGCGCGCCCGTGCCGCCTACCTGGAGGCCCCGGGTGCGGGGTTGGCAAGGTGCGAAGTGGCGGAGGGCGTCCCTCTGCAGCTGGATCTGCACGTGGCGGGGCACCCGGGGGAGCTCTCCGGGCCGGAAGCGGCGCACAACGGCCAGCTCCAGCCCCAGCGCGTCGGCGAAACGCACTCTTTTGCGGGTGTCCGGGCTGCGGGCCGCCCGGGCGCCGCCTCCCCCGCCGCCGCCGCCGCCGCCGCCGTCGCCCCCGGCGGGCGCAGAACGAGCCCGGCGGCCGCGACTCGGCGCGTGAGCGCGGGACCGGGCCCCGAGCCGCGTCCCGCCCTCGCCAGGCTCCTCCTCCGGCTCCTCCTCCAGGCTGGGCCTCTGGCTGCGGTAGTAAGCACGCTCCGTCAGAGCCGCGATGAAGCTGAGGTTGCGGGGGATGTCCTTGCGCGGGGGCGGCTCGCGAGACATGGCATCGTCCCCCGACGCCCGCCCCCGCCCCGCCGCGCGCAGCCTGCAGCCCAGACGCGCTGTCCGCTCGCGCCCGTCCGCGCCCGCCTCAGCCGCGGCGCCTGGCCATCGCGTCCTCTCCTTGCCGTCACCTCCAGGATCCTCCACCGCCCGTGACTCTGCCCCACTCCGGGACCACCTTGCCCTCCTGAGCCGTCAGTCCCCGGGTCGCAGATCATCAGCTCCGGCCTCCCGCCAGCAGCTGGCTCTGAGCGTGCGCCCAGCGGCGCTCCGGTCCCGAGGCCTGGGCGGCCGGGGCCCCCGCCCCCAGCCCTCTGACAGGTGGCTCCCCATCTGTCTCCGCTGCGCCGCCGCCGCTGCTCCGGAGTGGGGCGGAGACTCGGCTCCGGCTCCTCGCTGAGGCCACGCTCCCCGCCACCCACGCCCCCTTTTTTCCCTGTGGCCTCCTTGTCTCCGGCCAGTGAAGAGTTAATGCGGGGAGGAAATTGGAGCAGTTCTTAAATTCACAGAGTAAGGTTCAAGATTCCAGTCTCTCGACTGGATTCCCGCATTTCCCGGGCCCCAGGGCTCCAGGGCGGGGAGGGAGCAGCACTGCCTGCCTGCAAAGGGGGAGGTGACGTAAGCAAGGGAGCTTCGGAGCTGGGGCACTGAGAAGGGTAAGGACATTGTGGGAAGACAGCTTCTGATCCCGCGGTGTAATTTTATTTTTCCTTTTTTTTTTTTTCACTCGGCCGGGCATGGAGCCCAGGTCCTCTACGTGCACAGCATGTGCCCTACTACTCAGCCACTCCTGGGCCCCCCTGCTCCCACCCTTGTTCAGTTGTGTTGCTTTGACAAGACACTTCACTGGGCTTGTTTCTGATTTGTAAAAACAATGTCGTAGAGAGAACAGAGCCGTAGTATAGTGGGTAAGGCGCTTGCCTTGCAGTACAGCTGATTTGGGATTAATCCCGACATCTCATATGCTTTCCCCCAGTTGGCCAGGAGGATCCTTGAGTGCAAAGCCAGGAGTAATCCCTGAGCATGGCCAGGTGCGACCCCAAAACGAACCAAAACCCCCCTGAACAGTGTAGTAGAGGGGAGACAGATACAGACAGATACAGTCTTGCCATGCATGCTGCTGGCTCTGACCTATACCCAGCTTCTCATATCTGCTATCCCACTCTCCTTTGAGTGAGGGGACAGGGCTAGGATTCTTAAGTCCACAGTACCCTGAAACCTAATATCCCACTCACTTCTGTAAGGGGGGTCCACCTCTGCAGTCCTTACCTTTAGATATCCACCCACCCAGCTGTGAGTTCAAAAAGTGTGGGCATGCGGGACCGGAGCATGAGCATTCAGTAGCTGAGAGTTGCCATCCCAGGCCAGCTGACAGTGAGGATCAATGAAGGACTGGGGGAAATGGGAGAAGGAGAACTGCCTCCCCAGCCCTGCCAGGAGTGATCCCTGAGCACCACTGGATGTGCCCCTCCCATACCCCAGAAAAAAAGAAAACCATGTTAGAGGACCTGAGAGAAGATAGCACAAGGCTTCAGGTAGGCAACCATATGATGTGGGGATCTAACCTTAGTCCGCTACGTGGAAAGCAAATGCCTTATCTGATTTTCCATATCTTCAGCCCCTCCTGGTTCAAATTCCCTCTACCATGTATGGGCCCCTGAGCACAGAGCCAGGAATAGCCCCTGAACCCTAATTCCTCCTCCCCAAAACAAAACAAAAACCCAGTGCATCAGGGAGACCATTGCTAACCATACTGAAAGCCCTGTTAGGGCAGAGATTGTATCTGATTCATGGACAGTTCCAGCACATAATAGGGCTGAATGAATACACAACACTTTTGGAACTGAAACTTGATTTCTAGTTTCAGGAAGGCACAAAACTTGCTTCTTTCCCCATTTTTTTTTCTCCACTAGTTAGGGGGCTGGAGTGATAGCACAGCGGTAGGCCGTTTGCCTTGCATGTGGCTGGCCACCCGAGCCAGGTTCGATTCCTCTGCTCCTCTTGGAGAGCCCGGCAAGCTACCGAGAGTATCTCGCCCGCACGACAAAGCCTGGCAAGCTACCTGTGGCATATTCAATATGCCAAGCACAGTAACAACTAAGTCTCACAATGGAGACGTTATTGGGCCCACTCGAGCAAATTGATGAACAACAGGAGGACAGTGACAGTAACAGTGCACTAGTTAGGGGGAAAGGTGAAGTGTTAAGTTTTTAGTGTTTTTGTTTTTGTTTTTAACTTCCTTGGTGATTTTTATATAGCATTTACAGTGTGCTAGATATAGAGTTGTTTTTGGTCTTTTTGTTTGCTTGTGTTTTTGGTGGAGGAAATTAGGGCCATGTCTCTTGGTGCTCAGAGATTATTTATTCTTGCCTCTGACTGAATTGGAGTGATAGCACAGCAGGTAGGGCGCTTGCCTTGCACGTGGCCAACCTGGGTTTGATTCCTTCGTCCCTCTCAGCATGCTACTGAGAGTATTCTGCCCGCATGGCAGAGCCTGCCAAGCTCCCCATGGCGTATTTGATATGCCAAAAACAGTAACAAGTCTCACAATGGAGACGTTACTGGTGCCTGCTCAAGCAAATCGATGAACAACAGGAGGACAGTGCTACAGTGCCTCTGACTCTGTGCTCGAGTCACTCCTGGTAGTATGAGTATTGGGGTGTGGTTATTAAAACCTGCACACTAGGCAAATGCCTTAGCCTCTGTACTATGTCCCTGGCCCCAGCTACTGACTCTGTGCTCAGGGATCACTCCTGGGTGTGCTTGGGATAAATGTGGTGCCAGGGATCAAACCTAGGTCCCCTTCATGCAAGGCAAGTGCCTTATCTGTTGTACTATCATCTCTCTAGCCTTAGCTATAATAATATATTTTTTTAAGTATTTTATTTTGAGGCCTCACCCTTTTGTGCTCAGGGATTACTCCTAGTCCTACACTCCAGAATCACCCCTTGGCATGCTTGGGGGACCATATGGGATGCTGAGAATCAAACCCAGGTTGACCAGATGCAAGGCAAATACACTACCTGCTGTACTATTGCTCCCGCCCCTCCCCCCATCCAGCTATCATTTTAAAGGCCCAGGGAGATAGCACAATGGGCTTGTATGCAGACTTTGTTTTCAGGAGCCTGGATAGCTTTGCCAGGAACTCCCCAAGCCCCTCTGTACTGAGCTGGAAGTAGCCCCTGACCACCACTGGCAGTAGCCCAAAACAAACAAAAGCTTCACAAATATTAACTCAATATACCTATTCTGGGAGTAGGGGATTAATATCATGCCTATTTTATGGATGAGAAAATGGAGTAAAAGAGGGCATAGAAATCTTGCCCAGAGTTACATAAATAGTAACTATCTAGGTAGGATTAGCACCTCAGCATTCTGCATCTTTTAAAAAAAAAACTTTTTGTTAAATCACTGTGAGATAGACCCTTAACTGTTTATGATTGGATTTCAGGCATACAGTATTCCAACACCCATCCCTCCACCAGTAGCATTCTGCATCTTAGAGTTCACTGCATTAGTGCACTTGGTTTGATATGTTTAAAATACTTAATGATGAGGCCAGAGAGATATGATGGGATAAGATGCTTGCCCTGTGTGCAACAAAATCTGGCTCAATCCTTAGCACCACATGGTCCCCTGAACACTGCCAGGAGCAATCCCTCACTTTCAGCCAGAAGTAGCCCCCAGCGTCAGTGTAGCCCAAAATCCCCCCTCCATTTTTAAAAAGGTACTCAATGTAATAGTTAATATCCAGCCGTTAAAACGAGGAATCTTAAAATAGAAGATTGAAATGGACTCTCCAAAGTTTGCTTTTCTTGAGGCCACATCCCATGATGCTCAGGGACTGCTGGCAGGGGCTGAGAGCAGGTGGCTCCAGGAGGTGCTCCCTGGCCCCAGCATCTCCAGATTGAAAGCATCGGGTCATTTTCAACCAAGAATCCCAAGAGATAGAGTAAGAAATAGGATAAGTTATCTTGTCCAATTTATTCTTGTTTGCTTTTTAATTCCAGTATTAACCCTATCAATGCCATTTAACTAAGATTCTTTTTTATTTATTTTTTGGTGGGGGCTACACCCACCAATACTCAGAGGTTATTTCTGGCTCTGCACTCAGAAATCATTTTTGGCATTGCCCAGGGGATCATATGGGTTCCTTGGGATCAAATCCAGGTCAGCTGCTTGCAAGGAAAGCATCTTACTCACTGTACTATGTCTCCTGATCCACCTAGAATTTTCTTTTCTGTAGGCAGTCATTTCTGGCAGTGCTCAGTGCTTACTCCTGGCTCTGTGCTCAGGGATCATTCCTGGCAATGATCAGGGAACCATATGGGGTGTCAGGGATTGCATCTGTGTCAGGGATTGCAACTGTGTGCAAGGCAAAAGCCCTACCCATTGTATTGTCACTCCAGACCCTAACTAGGATTCTTGTTTGTTTAGAGGACCACACCCAGCAGTGCTCAGAGGTTACTCCTGGCCCCCCTAGGAATCATGGCAGTGCTCAGAGGATCATATAGGATACCAGGGATTAAACTCGGGTCAGTTGCCTGCAAGGCAAACATGCTACTGCCATCTCTCCAGCCCCTCGGATTCTCTTTTTAAAAATATTTTTTCTGGAGGGGAGCTATAGCACAGCGGTTAGGGTGTTTGCCTTGCACGCAGCTGACCATGGTTTGATCCCCGGCATCCCATATGGTCCCCCGAGCACCGCCAGGAATAATTCCTGAGTGCAGAACCAGGAATAAGCCCTGAGCATCACCGGGTGTGATTCCCCCCCCCCAAAAAAAAAGCAAAAATATTTTTTCTGGGGGCTGGAGCGATAGCACAGTGGGTAGGGCGTTTGTCTTGCACACAGCCAACCTGGGTTTGATTCCCAGCATACCATATGGTCCCCTGAGCACTGCTAGGAGTAATTTCTGAGTACAAAGCCTGTGCACAGCCGGGTGTGACCCAAAAAGAAATTTGTCACCGTCACTGTCCTCCCATTGTTCATCGATTTGCTCGAGTGGGCCCAGTAACTTGTTACTGTGTTTGGCATATCCAATATGTCACGGGGAGCTTGCCAGGCTTTTGCCATGCAGGCGAGATACTCTCGGTAACTTACCGGGCTCTCCGAGAGGGGCGGAGGAATCGAACCTGGGTTGGCCAGTTCAGCTGCATGCAAGGCAAATGCCCTACCCACTGTGCTATTGCTCTTTTTTCTTTTCCTATGTCAGGGATCAAACTCAGGGCTGGGGATCACTGAATTTTTTTTGTTTTATTAGTTTGGCAGCTACTTCTGACTTGGTGCTTAGAGATCACTCCATGTAGGGTTCAGGGGACCATGCAGTGTCAGGGACCGTACCAAGGATTTCATGCTCTAACCCTTTGCAATATCTCCCTGGCCCAGGACTCATTTTACTTATTTAATTTCGCTTATTTACTTTTGCTTTTTTGGGCCACATCTGGCAACTATAAAAAATGGGACATCTTTTCAGCCGCGCGACGTCTTATTATCTCATTCTTACTTTGGACAACCTGGCAGGCTACCGAATGTCACCTGCCCACACGGCAGAGTCTGGCAAACTCCCCGTGGCATACCCAATATGCCAAATGCCAGTAACAATGATGGGTCTCACTCTCCTAAACCTGAAAGAACCTTGAATATGGAACTTTTTAAAATCTCAGGGCTAGGATGAAGGAGATGTTACTGGGGCCTGCTCAAGGCAATCGACGAGCAACGGGATGATCGTGATCGTGATCTGGTGGCCATACATTCAGAAGTTACTCCTGGCCCTGCACTCAGGCATCATTCTTGGCAGTTCTTGGGGAACCATATGTGGTGACAGGGAGTAAACTGGGGTTGGCCATGTGCAAAGCAAGTGTCTTAGCCCCTGTCCTATCTCTCCAGCACCCATGTTTTGTTTGTTTATTTTAGGGCCACACCCCACAGTGCTTAGGCAGTACTCCTGGCTCTGCATGCACTCAGGAATTACTCCTGGTGGGATCATAACTCAGGGAACCATATTAGGTGCTAGGGATCGAGTCCTGGTCAACCATGTGTAAGACAAGCTCCTTACTCACTGTACTATTTCTCTAGCCTTCAGAGTACGCATCTTTAGACCTGCCATAATTTGTGTTGCTCCAGTGCTTTTGTTCTCTGGCTGATGAGACAAAGAACCTTTATTCCAAATCAGTCTTGGTTTCATACACAGACAGTGCAGTTATCTTCAAGAGCTGATCAGTAGTGTTGAGTGATTTGGTCAATCTACACATTTACTTCAGATCTATTAGTTCCAAGGACATGAAAGTGAATAAAATTCAGTTCCTGTTCTCACAGAGCTTATAAATAAATTGCGTGGGCAGAGAGAACTATATTTGGATCTTGAGACTTGAAAGTATTTTTGTTTCAAGTAAATGTCTTAGGAGAAATCAGGGTTGCCAATGAAGGACCAGACTCAGTTACTTTCAAGGAGGCAGCCACAAAGGGCTAGAGAGATGACTCACAAGCCTGGAGTGGAGGCTTTGCACTCAGGAGCCCTGGGTGCCATACCTGGCCAGCACAGTCCCCCAGCACTACTGGGCATAACGTCCTGAGCACTACCTAGTGTGGCCCCACAACAAAAACTAGGAAGAAAAAAACAAACAGGAGCTGGAATGGTCAGTCCAATGAACAAAGGAGAAAAGGGGACCCGTGTCATGGAACAGAGGAACAAGCTGTGTTGTCAGAACCAAGGGCAGAACTGAGTTTGGACTCATAAGTGGGGTGGTAGCCACTTTGATCATCAGAAGTGAAGGGGTGCCCTCAAAAAGACAAACTTTCAAGTCAAGCTTGAATTTGGTTGAGTCCCAGCTTCTGAGAATGTGGCTTTTGGGTGGAATTAATTAACTCCCCTCACCCATAAGTCTAGGGTTGTGCGGCATAAAGATTGGTAAGGTTAAGACATGCAGGTTAGAAGCACTTTGTACCTTCTCTGCAGAATGCTTAGCAGTTACTATTATTGTGACCTAGCTTCTCCAGTCTGGTGGGCGGCAGACGCGAAGGAGACCAGCAGGAAAGGGAAGTTGGGCTGCCACTTTCTGGGGGATATCTGGGGTCCCTTCAATGGAGCTGAAGGAAGTGGCAGCTGCAGACGGCCATGGGCCCAGCCTGAGAGTGCCCTCCTGCGGCCCAGCTGTTCCACACCCAGTGAAGGGGCTGGGATCAGTAGCTCCCAGGTACAAAAAACAGTCAGATGTGTGCCTGTGTCCATGAAATCTGGAAGGATAAAGATCGACCTTGACGCTGACAGCCTCCTGGAATGTAGAGGACTTACAAGAGGATGAGGGAGGAAAGATGAGGATTTGTATTATTTCCTCCAGACCTCGATATTGCCTGCTTTCTTCATGTCATGAAAATAAGCTCCTGTGTTGGAGAAACGCAATTTTCAGGAAATCGATCCGGTGACCCCCCACCCAAAATGAAGACGTTACCTACAGAAACAGCTTGTGATCTAAACCCCAGTTCCCAGACGCCCTGCTAAGGCCCCAGCCCACCGAGACCCGGGGCCTAAAGGTCCTGGAGGCAAGGAAACGAGCCGGTGAAATAGCGGCTGGGCCAGTCCCACAAGGAGGCACCTACAGGGCGTGGGAACCGTTTCTCTTCTCTGGAACTCCTTTCCAGGCTGCGAGAGTTCAACAAGTGCCTGGAACGTCTGAGACCTTCGGGAGATACTGCATTTGCTGGGAGCTTCCCGAGTCTGCCGGGAGGCTCTGGGGCTCCGGCTGGGTCTTGGCTGGCTGGGCTCGCCTCCCACAGCCCCTCTCTTCCCGGCCTGTGGCTCTTCCCAGTCCTGCGTCCCAGCCCCGCCCCTCTCTCCGGACGCATCTCTGGGCCCCATCATCACCCGGCGCCGGGCCCTCCCCCCTTTCTCCTCCTCCTTCCTTCCCTCCCTTCCTCCCTCTCTCCCTCCCTCTCAGCTCCTGCACCAGGAAACAGCCCGGATCCCGGCAGCGGCCTGACCCGTGAGATCCCTAACCTGGCAGGCAGGCGGGGTTGGGGGCTGAGGGTGGGGGTGAGGGAGGAGCCGGGCCTCTGGGCTGCCCTGGGGAGCCGGGAGTAGAGAAGGTGTCGCAGGAAGAAGCCCTTGGCCCTGGGTTTCCCAGGAGGACAGTCCTTAAACATGGATTCGGCCACACAGCTGGTACCGTGTTGGGAGCAGGGGCCCGGGCCCCGGAGCTGTGACCCCAGCCTTCCTCAGGCCAGACCCTGAACCCCAGCCTTTCCTGCCGCTCTCTGATCGGCCCCCCTCCTCTTCCCAGGGCTCCACGCTGGCCAGGAGGATGAAAGGCCGCAGCTGGGGGCTCCTTGCCACCGGCGCTGGGTCCTAAGAGCTGCCATCCAGGCGGGGTGAGTGTTGTCTTCCTTCTCTGCCTCTCTGTTTCTCTCCCGTTGCTTCTCCCCCTTTCCCTTCACTCCATGTCCTCCCCCGCCCGTGACCCTGCCAACATCTTTATTCCTGGCCTCCGGGGAGGCCCTCAGCCCCTTCCCTGGCCCCAAAAGTGTGTCCTGTGCAGAGGGGGGCGGGGTGGGGGTGCCACAGAGGTGGAATGGCTTTCTTACTGAAAGCAGCACAAGTGTTCAAAGAATAGTCGTGGGCCTGCTATACAGCCTGTGACTGTGCTGGCCAGCCCCTTACCCTGCCTTCCTTCCCAGGTCCCCGCTCCTCCCTGTCCAGTGGTCTCTGAGCATCCCCTCCCATCCTGCCCCTTCCTGTCTCACAGCGGTGGCCAAGGCTGAGAGCTCCCCCCCATTACCCCCTCCCACGGGGGATCCCCTGATCCCATCCTCATGTCATCTTTGGTCTTTGCCTCTTGCAGCCGCCCGGATGGCGACCCCCGCCTCGGCCCCAGACACACGGGCTCTAGTGGCAGACTTTGTAGGCTATAAGCTGAGGCAGAAAGGTTATGTGTGCGGAGCAGGCCCCGGGGAGGGCCCGGCCGCCGATCCTCTGCACCAAGCGATGCGGGCGGCTGGAGATGAGTTCGAGACCCGCTTCCGGCGCACCTTCTCTGACCTGGCGGCCCAGCTGCATGTGACCCCAGGCTCTGCCCAGCAGCGCTTCACCCAGGTCTCTGACGAACTCTTCCAAGGGGGCCCCAACTGGGGCCGCCTGGTGGCCTTCTTTGTCTTTGGAGCGGCGCTGTGTGCCGAGAGTGTCAACAAGGAGATGGAGCCACTCGTGGGGCAGGTGCAGGAGTGGATGGTGGCGTACCTGGAGACGCGGCTGGCTGACTGGATCCACAGCAGCGGGGGCTGGGTAAGAGCTTCCCCATCGCTGCTCTGTACATCCCCTCGCAAAGCTGCTCTCCAGGGGGAGGGAGTCGGTTCCGACTGGGTGCTAGGAACAAGCAAGGGGGTGGGGGTGGCGCTCAGCCACCCCTGTCTGGGTAGAAGCAGATGCCCTGGCTGTGGGCATGAGACTGGACTTTGCCCTCCAGGGCTGCCATGCAGTTATCACTGCACGGGCCTCTAATCCAAAGCGGAGGACAGGACACACAGACCTTAGGGAATGCCCGCAGGGAGATGGCTTGCCCGGCCACCAGGAACTTGGAACACCAGAGAGTGTTGCTTGGAGGGCTGTGGGGTGGTGGTGGTTGGGGGAGAAGATAGGGAGGGGTGGAGGTAGAGGGGAGGGGGCAGACATGGGATCCGAGATGAGGTGGTGGTCAGGCAGGCCGTGGGAAAGCCTGCCTGTTCTGAGAAGGGTTTGGGGCCGAGGTTGAAGGGGACCCTGGAGAGAGAGAATGAGCCTGGAGCTCAAGGCGGGGCAGGGGGAGGGTGGTCCGTGGGGCTTGGAGTTTTGGGGCTTTGTGCAGAGAAGAGCGGGGTGTGGGGAAGGGCTTGCAGTGGCTGGAACTGGAACTCTTCCTCTCCTCTCTTCTTCACTCTTTCCTCTCCTGATACCCCTCTCTCCTTCTTTCTCTACTTCCCTTCTCTCCCACAGGCGGCGTTCACGGCTCTGTACGGGGACGGGGCCCTGGAGGAGGCTCGGCGGCTGCGGGAGGGGAACTGGGCCTCCGTGCGGGCCGTGCTGACGGGGGCTGTGGCACTGGGGGCCCTGGTCACTGTGGGGGCCTTTTTCGCTAGCAAGTGAGATGGTGCAGGGCCAGGCGGGGACTCAGAGCGGTGGGCAGACAGGAGAGCAGAAACGGAACCGAGACACGCCCTTGGAAGAAGTTGGGTGCACGCATGGGCAGGACACAGAGTCGGGCAGGGGGCAGGGTGGCGCGTGAAGTTGCTGGACGCGGCAGGCAGGCTGTTGGCAGCAGGAGCTGGAGACACGGGGAAGGTATTTGGAAAGTCGGGGCCAGGAGGGAGAGTCACTTGAGGGCAGCGGGGGAGACAGGAGGGTCACGTCTGTAGGTGGCGGCACCCAGAGCGCGAACCATAGAGAACTGTAGCGTGACTTGTGAGTCCCCAGGAAGGTGGACGTGTTTGGGGGCTGTTGGCACCATCGGAGCAGTGGGGATTTGGGGGAAGACACGAAAGGCAGCTTCCTGGGGGAACGGCAGCTTGGGGTCGCAGGTGCCTCTGTGTGTGTGTGTGTGTGTGTGTGTGTGTGTGTGTGCGCGCGCGCGCGCGCGCGCGCGTGTGTCTGCACTCCCGCACGTGGACGCCTGTGCATGCTGCTTGTCTAAGCTGGAGGTGGGGGGAGGGAGGACACTCTCCCAGAACATTCCCTCTTGCCGTGGCAAGAATCTGGGGCAATTGTCTGCCCCTCCTCCCCCACACGTTCCTTCTTCCTCCCCTTGTCCTAAACTCTCAAGGCTAAGCGAGAGAAACACTGTATCGAGGCTTTGGGCCTGGGAGAGCCGCTGAGCCCCCGCTGTGGCCTTGCTCCTTCATCACCTCCCTTCCTTGCACCTGGTGCATTCGCTGCTGCCTCCCGCCCCCGGCTCTGACCGAAAAGGCCCGGCTAGGGTTCTGCAGGGCCTGTGCCAGGTGGAGGGAGCTGGACCCCCCTGCCCCGCCTCCCCCCCACCCCCCTTTCCATCCTCTCCTGCTGTGGCACACCAGTGCCCACGGGGTTCACTATCTCGGGAACCATCTGTACCGAAACTTCAGCCTAAGTGGAGGGCTCAAATCGATTTCTCTCGGGAGTGTGTGGACGTTCAAGAGATGCTGGTGTACAGCCTGGGGCCTGCGCTTGTCGCCACTGTTGATTCCCTCAGAGGAATAGGCCAGCTCTGAAGCCCCTGGGCGTAAGGGGGACGTGGACTTGTGACCGGCCGGGGCCGTGTGCTGGGCTCTGGTGCTGCTGTTGCTGAGGGTCCGGTGGGTGGGTTCTAGAGTTCCTTCCGCAACCATGGACCAGCTCGCTAAAGCCACGCTGTGTGCATACGTGTCCCCTGCCCATACCTCGGTGTCGGACAAGGCTCTGCGGCGGAGCTCACGGTCCTCGAGAACAGATGGCAATGACAGCCTTTTCTTTTGAGAAAGGAATCATTTCACTCCATATGCATGCCCTGAGCCAGACCTCACTGCTGCACTTTGCGAGGTGCTAACATTGCTGCTCTCCAATGCTGACTCCAGACACAGGGCTCACTAGGACCCTGCCCTCGACCCCGAGCACTGATCAGTTTAGCTAGACCATGGAGGAACTCTTGTTAGATTTTTTTTTTTTAATCCCAGCTTGGTCCCAGAATGTGGCAACATAGTTGTACTCACTAGAATGTGGGACCAAAATCGGCCTCAGGTGTTTAGCCCAGACTTTTGTTTTTGAGAGAGGGCTGCGCTTTCTCATGGTGTTTATCAGGGCGGTGGCTGACTGTGTGTGCCACTGGGTCTGTGGTGAGTGCGCTGGCCTCAGAACCTCAGAGCCAGTCTGTGTGGCAGGCAATTGGGGTGGGGGGTGGGGGTCTCTGACTTGCTCAGGACGAACTAGGCCAGTGGTTTTCCTATTGCTTGGCAGAGCCCCAGAGTTTCCTGGGGGTTCCCTCAGAAGCCCTCGGGGAAGAGGAGGTTTGGATGGTGGGGGGCCGTCGAGCAGGCTGGGTGACTTGCCCTCAAACAGAACAGCTCCCCTTGTAGCTGTCTTACATATCGGGGTTCAGGGTAAGGTTTTGTTTGCGTGAAGGGGTTTGCTGCTGAGGGAAGTTGGAAAACCACTGACTAGATAGATCATCAGCTCCAGATTGGAGCCGGACTGGGGCAGGCTTCTCACCTTACCCTGGAGCCCAGGATGCTCCTCCCCACCTGTCCCCATGAGCACTCTTGGGGCCAGCAGTGAACGAGGGGCCACGGCACTGTGGTCAGGTTACTGAACTGCCCTGGGTGGAGTGAGAGGTGATTTTCTGAAAGGGTAAAGGGCTTGATCCCAGAAGCGTGGCTTGAATGGGACCATGGTGGGCAGTTTTGACGGGTCCTGCCCTTCTTGAGGGGCAACGGAAAACCCCAGAGACGCTTATGTCAGGGAAAACTAGACTCTCTTCTAGAGCCATATAATTCCTTGGGATTAGCTCTTGGCCAGAAAGGCTGAGTATGGCTCCCAATTTTTAAATCCATTTCATTTAAAATAAATAAGGGGAAGAAATCTAATTTTCATTTTCCAGAGATTGAATCAGTGGAGAGGGTGTTTCTTGCTCTCCAGAGCCCAAAGGGACAAATAGGGACTTGCTTAGGCCAAGGAAGGAGCAGAAGTAGGGCACCGAGGTCCTGCGGTGATTAATCCCCATTTCCCACTTATTCTAGGGCATACACTATTTTACTTTTTTAAATCATAAAATGGCGGGAGAACAGATTTGGTTAGTTTAGAAGAAAAGAAAAAGCTCTATAAATATAAATATATATATTCCTGTATTTTTATTTAATAATTTATAAATACCAAGTTCATTTGACTTTTATTTTTGTGTAATATGTAATGGTCGTATTAAAAAAAAATAAAGCCCAGAAGTTTAATGAGAAGGACTGAACAGGGTTTGTGACTTCTATACTGAATAGCTTGGGGGTCAGGGCATTTTTTGATCCAATCGTCTCTTGGTAACTTTGTTCAGGACAAAGATTAGAAGAACAGGGATTTGTGAATGGATCGAGATGAGATTAAAAAAAAAAATGTGCCAAGTCAGTCAACCCAAGCCTTAAAAGGGCATATACATGCAGTACCTTAGGAGGGCCACAGACTCAGACCCAAACCCAACCAACCAAGGTACCAAAATACCTTTCTGAGACGATTATCAAGTCTCCACTTGTGGCTCAGCTGCTAATTGGAAGTGTGCTATAGTGAAGTTTCTCCCCCAAACCCTATTTCCTTCTTTGGACTTTGAGTTCAACAAAAAAATGGAGCCCCTGCTTCCTTTACTGGTTCCCCAAGACATTTGGTTTCAGCAATTTTAGTACGAACAGTTAAGTTGGATGGTATCTACAGGAATTATTCAGCGCATCCCTCTGTACGCATCCCTCTGTACTTCTAGGACCACATCAAAAGCATATCTGACAGGAATAGTGATTCCTATTTTAAATTACAAGGAGGAATTTATATTCCAGTGCAATCAACTGGTATTGGGGTTTCTATGTTAAATGGCAATGAAAAATGTAGTGCTTAGAGGAATTCAGTGGTGTGTTTCTATTCTCTCCGTAGAAAAATCTATAGAGCAAGACATTAAAATCAGAGAGTGATTTGGACTGGAGTGATAGTACAGTAGGCAACCTTGCACTCAGCAGACTGGGGTTTAATCCCTGAGATCCCATATGATCCCCAGAGCACAGTCAGGAGTGATCCCTGAGTGCAGAGTCAGAAGTAAACCCCGAGCATTGCTGGCTGTGGCCCCCAAAACCAAAAAAGTAAAATAAAAAGCTTTGAAAAATAAATCAGAGAGTGGCTTGATGAACAAGGCACTAGTGGAAAGGGAATTAGGTGCTCTTCATAATTAATATTAGACTATGATGATAGCTAATACATTTATCTCTACTGAAACCCGATAGATTTAAAGACTGGTTTATATCCACCTCGTTCCAAACACATTTGCAGCATTTTATTCTAATACACAAAAGACAAAATAATAGAAAGTATAGATTTTTAAAGTAGGGGGTGAAGGGTACATTGAAATATGACAGTAAAATGACAGCAGAAAGGAACATGAATGTTCAGAAAGGCATTCTGTAAGCAATATTCCTGAATACTAGAGCTATGCTATGAATTCAGCTCCGAGCTGCTTGGCAGCTAAAGCATGTTGGAAAACACAGTGAGATTCCTATTCCTCTTAGGAAATATAAAGCCTATCAGTTTGAAGCTGGACAAAAGCTTTGTGTCTCTTTTGA